ATGAGAAAACTCTTCCATGCTACAAATATTTGCATAATTCTGTTCCATATTATGGCATATATCCCAATGCAGTGTTCTTCTAGTAATATTATCTCTTACTCTGCAGATGTATGAATTTTCCATTGTTAGCAGCGAGCTTAGAATCTTCTTCTGCAATTTGAAACTGATTTGCAGTCCACATTTATTAGCATGAAGAAATGGTTCCTGCACTATTTATCAGTTGTTGAGCTCGCTCACACCAAACTATACGTTTTCCAGAGTAATTTCCTCAGTTAAATGTTAAATCCAAACTTCCATTTTCCTTCATTCCCTCCCTTTTAACGGATCCAAGCTAAAAACTTTTGTAATTAGTTCTGCCAGCCAATAGAAAGTGTGGATGCATGACAAGCTGCATTGCATCAGGATGCACGAGATCTTGAGCCTTTAATTTTTAAGTGTATATATGCTCTTTTCTTTTAGTAATGTATAGCTTAAATCGGCTAAAAGACACTAGACCAGCGAAAGCTCCACCGTTCAAGGGAAGTTTTCACAGCCTAGTGACTGATTGTTCACTACATGCCCAACTCCAGTTCCCACATAGATTGTTTCTCAGAATCCTTCCTCAGACAAGTTAATTCTTCGACTGTGCGACTTTTGAAAGCTGTAACTCTGAAGTAAGGAACACCTGAATAGTGCTTAACGCATTAAACTAAGCTAAAGACAAACATATGAAGGCATAAAGCAAGCAGTGGCAGTGCGGGACAGCAACTAAAGTTTAAGGGTATAGATTAGACATAATGCATGTAAAGAGAGCTAGGGATAAACGCATAAAGAAGATAGCATCTACCTGCATCAACGTTCATTAGCCATCATTAAATTGATAGCTTTCTTTCAGTAATTTCATACGAATATGTTATTTGTTTAACATTTGATACAGTTGTATGGACAAATATAATACTGGATGCAAAATTGGAGAAGTAACTCCATTGTTAAAGCAGAGAAAGGAATGAAATCCATGAGAAAAATATTCGAAACCTAGTCTAGAAGAAGAATAGACATCCAAGAAAAAAAGGCTGTTGGTAATTTCATAAGCAAGGGATAAAGTCATGTTTTGTGATGATCACAAGACCAAGTATACGTAACCAGCCAAAACACAGATGGGCAGAGCAAATTCTTGCTATATCATATTACTCTCACATACTATATAGTAGTTCTTAATACTATTTTACACATATCTGATTTAAATGGCAGATGCAATTCTATCTTTTGCTGTGGAAAGCATTGGCAAACTATTGATTGAAGAAGCAAATTTTCTTCAAGGTGTCAGTGAGCAAGTTAGGTTACTCCATGAAGATCTGAAACAGATGGAATGGTTCTTAAAGTATGCAGATACAAAGCAGAGTGTAAGGGAGAGATTCCAACCATGGGTTGCTGAAGTTAACGCTATTGATTATGAAGCCAATGATTTGGTTGAAGATTATGCATTCAGAGTTTCATCCCAAGATTCGAAAAGTTTCCTTGAAAGGTATGCTTGCATCTTCAAAGAATGCTATACGCGTCATAATCTGGGCTCAGAAATTCAATGTCTCAGAAATAGGATCTCTAGTCTTACCCACCGTTTTGCTGAGTATGGTATAACTACTATTATAGAACAAGAAGCATCAAGTTCCATGCAACAAAAGTTAAGGCGGATGTACTTCTTTGTGGCTGACGATGATTTCATTGGATTGCAGACTGATGTGGAGATTTTAGTCAAGCGTTTGCTCGATGAAGGTCAAGTTGGCTCCCAGAAAGTCATTTCAATTTTTGGAATGGCAGGTTAGGGTAAGACGACTCTGGCTAGAACACTATATCACGATCCTAGGTTGAGGAAGTACTTCAGTGGTTTTGCATGGATTTGTGTGTCACAACATGGCAAGCAAGAGATCTTTTGCAAGAAATGCTTGTTAAACTTATCCCTGACTCTGAGCAAAGAACACTAACAATGAATAACACAGAGCAGGAGTTGGGAACAAAGCTTCGCCAGGTCTTGCAGCAGAGAAGATGCTTGATTGTTCTTGATGACATTTGGTCAATAGAGGCTTGGGATTCCATAAAACACGCTTTCCCGATGACAGAGGAAGGAAGCAAAATACTGCTAACAACTCGTAAAAGGGACGTGGCACTACACGTTGACTCGGTTACCTGACTAATATCCTTATCAGTTTTAAGTAACTCTCCATACACAATCTCAAATGTTAGTTATTCTAAATAATATGCACTTTTAGATATTTTTAGTGAGCTCTTAACGTGTTAATAAAGGTGGAGTGGAATTGAAACTATTTATAACTGTTATAACAGATGCAACGGAACAGAAGAACAAATAAGAGCAGACAAGAATAACTTGGGGGAAATCAGATTTTATTAGGGTTGTAATCGAAATAGTTTACAAACTAAAATAAGGTGTATATATATACAACCAAACAAATTGGACCCAAAAATAGACCCAAAACAAGACTCGAAATAAAACAGACACAGTAACTAATATATACCGTAAGTTCAGCGAGACCCCCGTACAGCTCAGCGAAGGTCGAAGATTTAATTCAAGGCATCTCAACAATAACTATACTCAAATGTTATCTTCTGCAGTTGGTTCTATTAGTTTAGGTAACGTATCTAATTTGCTAGAAGTAGTCGCCACACCATGTTTTTTGGGTAGAGGCAAAGTTATAACCTATGTTTTGAAACTCAAATTGGTTAGTAACTTCAAACTTGGCTGAAGTCAGACGTCAAGAGTTAATGGGTTTGACTGATTAGACCAATATCCAATGCCTAGATAATATCATTCCGATGACATAAATATGCATCAATTTTTTATATATAAATAATATAGAAAATTGACTATAAATACATTAGTTATATTCATTTTCACCCTTATACTCCTTCTCTATCAAATTCATTTAAATTAGTTATATTCCTTATCCATCAAATTTGTAAAAGATCACTAAATTGCTAATTCAACAAATGTCCAATCAACAACAATTACTTAATAAGAATTTTCAACATAAAAAATCAAGTTTTGAATTAATTTGTTAATGTTTCCAAAGTTCAAATACACATCGATGAGCCTAAATTGTTTAAAGTGGATAATAAGTCTTCAACAAATGAAGGCTTATTTGCAAAGAATACAAAAACTAAAACTGCACAATGAAATTATGAGAAAATTTGGGAACGTACTTATAATTATTCAAAACATCAGGGTCAGAACAAAGTACTAAAATATTTTTACACTTAAGAGGCAATATCTTGCTCAACTTCGTCTTCTTCAACATTCATCATCACCAACATGACGCGAAGTTCCAGGCTTGCTCTGCATCTTTTCCATTTTTTTTTTATTTTTTGACGATTTTCCCTTTCTTGTTGTTTCCTTCCTTCAAATTGGCACCCTTCAACCTTTCTTTAATTTCATTCTTTTTTACTTTTTTTTTTATTTTCCCTACTTTTTATTTAGATCTATAGATCTTAGAAAAAGACATTCATAGATATAAAGTTCCATTATTTTTCTTCCTCTCTTGCTATTTGTTTGGAAGTTTTTCCTTGTGGTTTCAAATGTGTCATTGATTGTTGGGGAAATAAAATTAGGGCTTTAGAGATGAAGGGAATTTGGGATAAAATAAGAGAAATCAGTCACTTAAAAAAAAGAATGGTAACAAAAAAATGAATAAAACACGACTTTTTGCCAATTTTCACGGTTTTCGGTTAAATCCAATTTTTTATGGAGTTTTTGCTATGTATTTTTTTGAGTAGACTTAGACCAAATGCCTAAGTGATTCCCAATTCAACTATTTGAAATTGCCGATCTAGTTCGAATTTTAAAACACAGGTTACAAGTAATAGTGAAAAGTTATTTTACGACTATAAGTTTAAAAACTATGAACTATATATCATTTTTCTCTTTTCTTTTTTGTTTCTTTTTCTTAATGATTTAATCTTGATATTGAATTACAATTCAAAGCAAAATATTTTAAATCAAATATCTATATGAACAAGTTTTTTGGGACCTCATGATGACGTGAAAGATAGCAATAGTAAAAATTAAGTCATTATAAAATAATAACGAAGTTATATCCCAATTGATCAAAGATTCAAAATATGCTTTAATATATAAAATTAACATAACTACTTGTATCTCTGTCTTTTCTTTTTTTACCATCTTTCATGCAAAAATATATGTACATATATACCTACATGCATACATTCATGTATATATACAAACTTCCACACACTTTAATACCAAATTTTAGAGAATAAAAAAATTCCAAAATTTAAATTTTTTTGGTTAAAAAGGGAATTCCAAAGTTTAAGTTCAAAGTATACAAATGAATTATCCAATTAGCTATGAACTTTGACCTATACGTTCATAAAGAGATCTTTTTAGAGACCGTACATAAGATTTTGAGAAAACGATACTAAAGCTTTTAATAAAAAGCTAATTTTGCATATCAACTAACTAAGGCTGTCTAAAAATTTTAAAAAGCTAAAAGTTAATTTTTTCACGTGACAAAAGTCAGGTGGAAGGGTCAATGGAATTTTCCTAGTATTCTAGGGGTCAAACAGTGGTTCTCAATGAAAATTAGATAATTCTTAACATTTTTCAAGGGTCAAAGCCCCAAAAAGGTTTTGTGAAAACTTTTACTTTTTTCGGGGTGGAGTGCTGCTCCCACCGGCCGCCCTTGTGGATCCGCTCCTCCAAAATATAGTCAAACTCTTTTTGTTGTTCATGTTAATTCTATTAGAGTTACAAGTTTCCTGTTATTTTACTTTTTAAAGACAAATCATTTCTTTGTGGGATAAGAAGCTTTTAAAGTCATGTGAATAACCAACACTAAAAGTTATTCGCCATTTTTGTAGCTGTTGAAGATTACCATAAGTTGGAAAAGCAATGGTAAAATATTGTGGGGGTCTTCATTTCGCTGTGGTTGTTCTTGGAGGAATCCTTAAGACAAGGAAGAGCCTAAGTGAGTGGATGGTTGCGCATGAAAATGTTAAGTCCTATCTTGAAAAGGGTGGAGGCATTGGACAGGGTGAAGGAGCTGTCAAATATTTTAGCTTTTAGTTACTACAACTTGCCTTATCAACTAAAGCCCTGCTTCCTTTACTTGGGAAAATTCAAAGAAGATACTGCTATAGATGCAGAGACGCTATATGAGCTGTGGCTCGCTGAAGGCATGGTACTTGCAAATGATAGGGTAGGGCAAGAATCAATGATGGATGTTGCTGAGCGTTACTTAGAAGAATTAGCAAAACGGTGCATGGTTCGGGTAGAAATACATGAGGTGCTGCCCGTAGTCACAAAGTTCAAGTCATGTCGTGTGCATGATCTCATGAGAGATCTATGCTTGCTCAAGGCAAAAGAGGAGAAATTGTACAAGGTTATTGAGCTTGATCAAAATGCTGCTGTCAAGTTAGCACAATCTCCACCTCAAATAGGAGGACATTACATATTTTGCCTTCGTTTCCATGCAGTGGAATCCTTATACCCGAAAGTATATATTCCCCTGCACAAAGATCAAACAAAGCATCTTCATTCATTTGTGTGTGAACCAATGAATGGAGACAACAAAAACAAATTTCCAGGGAGGGGAATAATGTCCCAAGTTAACAATTTGAAGATGCTTAGAATTGTGGCAATTGAAAACTCCAATATGGCTTCCCAAAGCTTTTATTCAAGATCACTCATGCAATTTATAGGCAATCTTATCCACTTGAGATGCTTGAGTTTGAAAGGTTGTACTGATTTGACCTTGCCATATTCCTTGGGCAATCTAAAGTACTGATTGGAAAGGTTGTACCGATTTTACCAACTATCCCACTTGCTCCCTCCCCCTTGCCTCACTAAGTTAGAGCTGCATTGGTCTGGAATTGAGGAGGATCCGATGAGAACGCTTACCCTCCAACTTGCAAACACTAGGTTTGCATGAAGCCTCTTTTGAGGGGAAAGAAATGACATGCCACGCAATGGGATTTCCGCGACTCAAAGTTCTTGAACTTAATTCTTTGAGGAACTTAGAGAAGTGGAAGGTGGATGAAGGGGCCATGCCGAAGTTCTCAAGTTTACAGATTAGGCGTTGTGAGAAATTGGAATCTTTGACTACCCTAAAAGAATTAAAACTTCTCACCATGCCCAGAGAATTCATAAACAGAGTTGAAGTGGTTAATGGTGAACAAGTACCAGATTAATTATGATAAAATAAGTCATGTGCATTCAGTTGAAATCCGCTGAGTCATCCAACCTTCCACCGTGAATATAATCTGATTCTAATTCCAGAATTCAGGTACTCATTGCTCAACTTTTGCTTCTTCCTCCTCTAATTTTTGTTCTCTTGTAATTATTCAGCTGACCCTTCTCACATGTCCTTGTTTTTTCCACCATAATCTCAAATTGATCAATATGTTGGTTTGTTATTTGAAAATTTTCTCTTTCCGAAGCATAAACAGGTCATATATATAAATTCAACTAAAAGTGCACTTTTAAATCTTAGTTACATATTTAGGTGTGTAACCTTGTTTATGATGCCATCTGATGTATTGCATTTAATTCGTGAACACGACTCAAAAGGGCGTTTCTTTCCTCGACTAGCTAAATATTATTTATCAATGCAATTTCCATTTGTACCCGGATAAAAATTTTATTTAGGTAAGCTTGTTACAACAATTGCCTGGCACCTTCTCACAAGAGGGGAAAAAAGGGCAGAAAAAACGTCCCTCCTGCCTGGCATGTTGGTTAATGGTAAATTGGTAATAGTAAGAATCAAGCACTATGTTTCAGCACACTATTCCTAGTTCCTAGCCCTTAAACAACAAAGCTATTGTGTTAAAATTGAATGAATGGTTATCTATTCTTGTAAAACCTATTCCTGAATTTTATAGGATAAATATTTAAATAATTTGGGCAGAAGAGACATAGGATATTCTTGCTCTAGTCTCGCTGAAGTACTCTTTTTTTTTTTCGCTGAAGTACTTCCTTAGCCCTTTTAGAGTATTAGTTTTTCTATTTAATCATTATTTTTTTCTACTTAGCATGGTTTTAATAGTCACCTCTAATCAAATTAGTGTTCATAATTGTTTTGTGCAAAGTTCAGTGCTCTCATGAAAGAAGGTCCATCCGCAATAAAAGACAGATGGCTTGCCGGATTGCAACGCTGAAGTAATTGAGAACAGTTACATTCAAGAGAATGCTCTTGTTGCCTTGCCTACTCAAAACTGGTGTTCCTATTATTGTAATTTGCAGAGTTGCCACGTTTCAATTGAGTGTTTTTTTTTTTTGTTCTGTCCTTTCGTGTGGTTTGATGTGTGACAATACTTGTGTCGTTTTGTTGTTGCGTTGAACTCTTACATCTTTGATGTCTGACAAGATTTGTGCTGTTTTGTTGTTGTATTTTTACTTAGTGTCAGGACTGTTGTGACAGTAGGGAAATATACCGTAATATGCTTTTTCCTTCTTCTGTTCCCAAATTATTGATGTCACTGGTCAAGACAAATGTTTCCCTAAACTTCCCTCGGCCGCATACCACAGAAAAACAAGGATGATGAAATTTATGAAGAGAGAGAGAGAGAGAGAAAATTTCTAGCAATTTTGGAATTATCTTTTTCTTTTAGAGGAATGCATAAATTTTTAACTTGTAAGTTGTAACGTACCACTCAATGCATGAATCAGGTTTTACTTCAGCCTACAGCTCCAATTGCACCATTTTGTGAAACTTAATGACGGACCATTAATTCATGCCTTTGGAAGCAAAATAAGCTACTCTAATCCGTCCAATCCTTCACAGAGTAGCTACTTTCATCAGTCATGCTTCCCTTGGCTGGGCCAAAAATTAAATTGAATTAAATTAAATAGAAAACAGAAATCACCATCCACAAATATCGGGGGGATAAAAATATTGAGTTGTACCATGTTAGACTCGAGTACCAGAGTCCTGTGGATATGGGTGAAATGAAGACTGAAGAGTGGCGGGAGTACGGTAAGACAAAATGAAGAGTCGGAATGGCAGTAAAATTTGCAAAAGTCTTGCTTTGCCTATCAAATTTTCATTTCCGGAAAAGTGGAAGCCCAGAGAAGGAAGAAAGGCATTCCATTGTCTTCTACTCGTTCACCAGTTCTCTGATTCACTGCAAGTGCAAGGATAGGCTCAAGTAGCAAAACTTCTTGGCAATTTCTTGGAATCAAACAATCAGTCGCAAGTTCAATTGGTGTATAAGAAGTTGCCCCCAAAAAAGGGATAATTTTAGAAACCTCCCGTAGAGTTTCTAATAATTGTAGAAAGCTCCCTTCAAGTTTATTAAATTAACACTTACCGCCCTTACTTTTAGTGTTCATGTAACAATATGAACCCAAAATTCTATTAATCAAGTTTAAGAGAAACCTTAGGGAAGATTTAGACATGGACGGGATTAATCAAGTTTAAGAGAAGGAAAGGTATCATTATGACTATAGAAATTATCAAAATATTCATCTGGTCAAAAATCAAAATTCTATTCACAACTAAACATGCCTCAAACTTCAAACCCAATGCCGTCACCATCTCAAATCAAAATAATCTAACATACCATTAAATCCCCAAACATGTTAATATCTTAAATACAAAGAAGAAGCTCTACCTCCATCAACCAACAATTGCTAAGCATAAAAAGAAACCTAAATGCAGTTATGCAATTATTAATATCTTACAAAAGTTTTATGAATAGCTGTAGACAAATTAGCAAATTCACCAACTTTAGTCCCTCTTCCTCTTTTGGCCAATGATTGCATTATATGTTCCAATATTATTGTGAGTCTTTTCATCTCCTTTTAATTTGACAATGAAATCAGATTTTACTTTAACAATGAAATCTAATCCATCAATTGAACTTGTGATTTGGCAATTTCAAAGAGAAGACAAAAAAGATGGGAATATACAGCAAAGTTTGGAAGGATCACTTGTGGTGTATTTGGTAATAGTTCTAAGTAATGGTTGGTGGGGAATTTGAGTGTGTATTATGAGAGGAAGAGGTTAATAGATGAGAACACAATAACGATAAGTGAAAGAGAATTGTCATTGTTGGTTGTGATTTGTGAGTAAGAGAGCCGAAGAGGTAGGGTTTCTTTTTTATTTTTTTAATCTCATTTTATTAGACTATGAATTATCTATTAAGTGAAGATTATTAGAGTTATTTTACTATGACAAAGGGGGTCAATATAATTTGTAAAATTTAAGAGAGCTAAGTCAAATTGTCATAAACCTCTAGAGAGATTTGTGAAAGTATCACCAAATAAAAATGTTGGATAGAGAAAAAGCAAAACCGGAATTAATTGGTGTATGATTCTCATTCTCCCAGAGTCAAAATTCTTACTTAAAATCAAATAGAAAAAGACCTTTCAAGTTTTCTACTTTTGGACGTCTTGAAACTATTTCAAAATTTTCATTTCTTTTTTTTTAAAATATTGTCACTTCATTATCATTCTTCTACTGCATCATTTTACTTTTTTTTTTAAAGGTTTCATTGATGGACCATTTTATGGTAATTTGAATATAGTTGTTTACTTGACAGCCCATTGGGTAGACATTTAAAAATGACTTTGTTGATAGGTGATCTAAAACTCCACGGAATTGAGTATGCCTAACTAGGCCTTGAAGTTCAAAATTTTAAACGCAATTGTATACTCTGCTTTGCGAACTTTTATTTTCCTTTTAAAGTTTGCTGAGGTTATCAGTTCGTAAGTATATGATTTGGATGGCACACTTACTCATTTGGGAACTTTAATCGAATCAATTGCTTTACCAATAGATTGGCAGCATTAATAGCCACATTTTACTTGAAGAAACCAAAAAAGCTTCAATTTTTAAAGGTAAACCACGTAATCATGTTTCAATATGTTAATTTTAATATGTTAATTGTCCTTTTGTTCTTGGTTGAGCCAAGCTATGAAAAATGAAACAAAATCATGCAACAAAGGACATTAAAGTTAAGCAGGATTCTCAACTATCAAATTTAGGGAGTGAGCAATTTAATTTAGTATTTTAAGGGTCCGTTTGTTTCGGGTGAAAATGTTTTCCAGGAAAATATTTTCCTAATTTCCCGTGTTTGGTTGCACAAAAGTTACTGAAAACATTTTCCTATGTAAAATATTTTCACTCATCTTATGGAAAACAACTTCCCTTCCCAACTTCCTGAAGTTGTTTTCCGAAATGCACGCATCTTGCCTGTAGTATGTTCCAAACTTACTGAAATTATCTTGCAGTATGTTCTTTTTTTTTTTTTTTAGTGTAAACAGAAAGACTCGAACCCAAGATCTCTTCCTTACACTCCCTCCCCCGTACCACCCAACCCTCCCCCTAGTATATTCAAAATAAAAAAAAACCTCATCCTGCTCATCCTATGCTAGTAATTAATTATGTATAATAGGGACATTCTTTTCTAGAGAAACTTTCAGCAGTGAGAGTGCAAGATATATGTCACAATAAGCATTGCATGTGATTGATATTTGACACTAAATGGCCAGCAATTTATTTATTTGCTTAAGGAGATATTTTTTATTCATATATACATTTCTCCAAGATTTTTTAAAGTTAAACAATGAGATAAATTTTATTATTTTGCATGGGAAGAAGTATGTAGTTATAATGTGTAGAAAGTAAAGATAGAGATAAAAGTGAAAATATTTCAAAAGTTAAACAAACACCAGAAAAATGAAGTAAGAAAATATTTTTAATAAGCTAACCAAACACCTGAAAATGATGAAAGGGAAATGATTTTCATGGAAAATTACTTCCACGGAAAATATTTTCCCAAGGAAAACATTTTACTTCCAACCAAACAGACCCTAAATATTCATCTGATTCTTGCCTTTTCATTTTCTAATGAATTACAAATCCAGGTACAAAAAGAGTTTCACCGAAGAAGACAATACTATTTAGAGAACTAATTTCCCTAATCCATGCTTTCAAACAAGGGATAATTTTGGAAACTTCCCTTGAGGTTTTTAACTATTTCATCTAGTTTTCTTAAGATTTCAAAAGTTATACATACCTCCCTTCAAGATCAAGTTACCATTTTGGTAACAAAAACTATTCAATGGTCAAAATTTTGAATAAATAACCCAAAATGCCCTCAAAAAATTTTGAAGTTCATTTTATTTCTCCATAAAATTCTTTAAAAATGTTGGAACATATATAACATCACAAATCTACTTTTAACCCTCATCTCTACTATTTAAACCTTCTATATGCCCACATCCCAAACCAGTACCACTATCTTCATGACTACCACTACCATGTCCTTAAATTTTAGAAACTCAATCCTAAAAAAAAAAAAAATCAATACTATTTGAAAATTTTTTACCAATTGCATTAATATAACACCTTATCTCTCAAATATTGGACTACTAACACTAGCCTCGTTTTACTTAAACCTTTAACTTCGTATCTTCTTCTATTTATCTCTAAATCCTTCATGTAAAACTAAAATTAATTTGCAACATGTTAAAACATCATTTAGGACATAATTAGTTATTTCATAAGTGAACCTTGTTTTTGTTTATGTTTAATGTCTAATTAGGTGAAACGCATTCGTATGCGCAAAATTAGGGGTGGATTGTTTGATTGCATGAAAAATATTGATATGTTAAGGTTATTAGAGTCATTTTATAAGACTAAGGGAGATAAATGTTATATTGAGAAGTTTAAGGGTACGAAGTACATTGTTAGAAACCTTGAGGAAAGTTACAGAAATTATCCATTGAAATTATCATTTTCACTTGGGCCCTGTTTGATTTCATTATGCATATTGGCCTAATCTCCAAAGTCCAAACACCAGCGGAATAAACTACTTCAGCAGAAAGCAGGTATCCGGTTAATAAATGCTACGCCCTCTCTAACGTCAGTCAGTCGGTAGTATTCGTGACCCACCACACGTTTGATAAATTGACTCAACGAGTTTTTCATGGCTTGCCAAATGAGTTTGCTCTCTAGTTTACTCCATTCTTCCAAGCAGAACGCCCGCTAGTTTTTTGCCAACGCTCTGCCTTCTTTTCTTGAAACCAGTTTAATAAACTGATCTTGAGTTGAATGGAGTTATGTTTCTCTCTGGATGTTTTTGTTTGAACATGCATTTTGTGTTTGAGGTATTTAGCTATTTTTGTCTCAGACCGTTGCCTGATGGAGCAGTGGCTTGGCAACTCTTTGTTATGTCATATTATCGTCTGTTCACCAAGTATTTATGCGGACTGAAGACAAAATATGATTTTTTTTTTAAAGTTGTTTCTTGCCTTTTAAAAGTCTGGAAACTCTCAGTCTCACTTCACTTAGGAAACCCCATTGTCTGCTTTTAATTCAGATGCTGATCAAAGATTTGGATATTACAGTTTCAAGAATGAGGACAAAAAGATGTTGCTTTTAGAAAAGCACAAACAAGCTTCTACTGTTTGGTGTCGAGCTGATGCTTTAAGAAGTCAAAGACGTATTTTGTCGGACAGCAATTTGGGTGTGCAAAGAAGATGATCAAATGTTGATTCATATTTGATCGGAGGATGTCTTAGCACTGTACTTCCGTGATTATTGCTCTCGGTCAGCTATCCCCTTGGTCGGAAAAACACAATAAGTGGCAGGTATAGAAAATTAAGCTGGAGCAACACAGGTGGATAGAAATCTGTAGAGCATGGCCATATCTGCTTAAAATCCTGATTTTGGCAGGTTTTACCTTGTCTCCATGTTCCTGAATCTGAAAAGGGTATCACTACCAATATATTTACACTCGGCCAAACTGAGTTAACTTCCTCTCACATGAAATTGCATCCCTTTCCCTTGAAATATATTTTATCCCCCCAAGTACTTTTAAAATCCATTCGCTATGTCTCTTCGAAACCCCAGTGGAATTCAAACCCGAACCCCAACCTCATCATCAGCCACCCAACTCTAGTCCTCATTGAGTCATGCAACTCAATGCCTGAACTGAAGCAACTTCAAGCCCACATGACCCGTACTGGTCTCATATTCCACCTCTTCCCCATCAGCAGACTTCTATCCTTTTGTGCCTTAGATCCCAATGGAAACATCCATTATGCCAATCTGTTATTTTCCCAAATTTTGCATCCCAATACATATATTTGGAACACTATGATAAGGGGTTATGCGAATTCCCCATTTCCTGAAATGGCTTTGTTCTTTTTTAACAGAATGATTAGTGAAGATGTCGAAATGGATAATAAAAGTTATGTTTTTTCGCTGAAAGGATGTGGGTTTTTGAGTGGGATTGAAAGGGGACTATTGGTGCATTGTAGGATTTGGAAAGTGGGTTTTGTGGATGATTTGATTGTGAGGAACGCTCTGGTACATTTTTATAGTGAGAAACGGCAATTGTGCAATGCAAAAACAGTTTTCCATGAGAGTACTGTGAGAGATGTGGTGTCTTGGACCTCGATGATTGATGGCTTTCTCAGAAAGAGTATGGCTGATGAGGCCTTGAATTTCTTCCAGAAAATGTGCTCAAGTGGTTTTGAGCCTAATGAGGTTACAATGATAGCAGTGTGTTCTGCATGTTCCCTTAAGGGGGATTTGACTTTGGCAAGATCAGTTCATGAGCTTGTGGCAAGGAAAGGTGTGAAATGTAGTCTTAATCTGATGAACTCTATTCTAGATATGCACGTTAAATGTGGTGATTTGGATAAAGCTGAGAAGATTTTTCAGGAAATGGACGTAAAGGATGTGTTTTCATGGACAAGCATGATCAATGGCTATGCCAAAAATGGAGACATTGAGTTGGCAAGGAAGTGCTTCAATGAGATGCCCCAGAGGAATGCAGTTTCTTGGACTGCAATGGTTGCATGTTATTCCCAAAACAACAGGCCAAGAGAGGCCCTGGAGATTTTCTCTAAAATGGAAATGGAAGGATTTATTGCTACAGAGAGTAGTTTGGTCTGTGTGCTCTGTGCTTGTTCTCAATTGAGTTGTCTGCACACAGGAAAACGGATTCATGATTATTATGTCAAGCAAGAGCGTGTAACTCTTAGTCTGATCCTAGCTAATGCGTTAATAGACATGTACGCTAAATGTGGTTGCATTGATGCTGCTGCAGACATCTTTAATAAGATGCCAGAGAAAGATTTGGTTTCTTGGAATTCACTCATTGCAGGAAATGCTTCTCATGGGCATGCTGAAGAGGCTCTTGTCCTCTTTGAACAGATGATAAGTATCGGCTTCAAGCCTGATAGTATCACATTTGTTGGCATCCTTTCAGCTTGTGCTCATGGTGGATTAGTCAATCAAGGTTGGAATTATTTTAGAAACATGAAAGTCCATGGGTTAATACCAACAGTGGAACACTATGCGTGCTTGGTTGATTTGCTTAGTAGAGTTGGGCACCTTGAAGAAGCCCATGGGTTGATAAAACAAATGCCAATGCAACCAGATGCTGCTGTCTGGGGTGCCTTGCTAAATGGTTGCAAAATGCATGGAAATCTCAAGCTGGGTAACCTTGCAGCTGACAAACTCATCTTTTTGGATCCTAAAGATAGTGGCATTTACACACTTCTTGCTAGTTTATGTGCTAAGGAAAGGAAGTGGAGTGATGTAAAGATGGTTAGAAGCATGATGAAAGCGAAAGGCACCAAAAAGAATCCAGGATGTAGCTTTATAGAAGTGGATGGCAAGTTTCACGAATTTTTGGTTGCTGATGAAACACATCCTGAATCAAAAGCAATCTACCTACTGTTAGATGAGATTTTCCTGCTATCAGAACTGGAATTGTATAGTTCAGGTCACGAGTACACTTGTGATTTCTCTCCCGTGTAAGGAGTCCAACAAAATCTAGATAAGTTTTTACAAGCTTGTGTACCATAATATTCACTTAAAACATTTGTGCAGAAAATTCCATGAATAGAACTGGTCCTGCATCCTACCAAGGAGGATGTCACCGTTGTGTTAACAAAAGAGCTGACTATTTCAGAGCATGGTGTCTTGGTAAAGTTTGTGAAAGTGCATGAATTCTAAACAGGGTGTGATAGCAAGTGCTCAAGGTTTCACCAAGTTCTGTATCAAGGATTATTTGCAAAATGCCTCAGAATGGGAGAACACAGAAGCCAAACCATGGAAGCTTAAGTTATTTGACTAATCCCCAATGTATAGCAGAAATCAATGTGGAGTATATGAAGCTGCACTCTGCTCTGTAACATGTGCCAACCATGTCAATGCAATTCCAACTAGAAAATGTGGTTCACAAACAAAATGTCCTTATTTCAAGCGTCTGCTATTTCATCTGCCAGTTTCTTTAATAGTTTATGGTGGAAACTACAATTCACTGGTTCTTAGAAAAGTCACTGCTGATGCTAAACCTTTTTGTCCAGAGCTCACTGAGGCATTTCATGTGGAGTTTGACACTCTTGAGTCTTCACTACACAGGCTGCTGGCAACCGGTTCCTACTTTTAGTTTGATTGGTAAGTAAAGATTACTTGAGGGGAAGTAACTGATGTTGTGGTTGCTGCATCTTCCTGTAAATATGTGTTCTAATGTGTATCTAATGTGTAGCAGTGGCACTTCAGATGTATATTGGAACACAGCTATGTTGCGGTTGCTGCATCTTCCTTAAAATATGTGGCCTAGTGTGTAGCAGTGGCACTTAAAAGGTATACTAGAATACAGCTGCCTTAAGCATGTTTGTGTTTTAGAGCTTGAATCAGCTCCAGTGAAAAGATTATTCACATAGCAGCATTCTGTGATTTCAAGTAGTAGCAGTTTCGCTGCTAAGAGCATGTTATGCTCTGGTTACCGTCTTGCTTGTACCACATAGCTTTACAACCCCCCCCCCCCCCCAACACCCACACCCACACCCACAAAGCCATAAGGGAATGTGGGAGAAATTTTACTCACCTGGTTTAAACTTTGCCCATGTCCTTCTGACAAATAAACTGTAACTACATTCAGGGGAATACCTGTAGAAATGACAAAGACACTCTCATACACATTTTTGTATTAGAATATCCAATTTGATGCAATTTTGTGAGACGCATTTTTTTATGAGAATTTTGCTAGTATGCAGTAAGGTTTCTGGAGATTGAATCTTCATCAAGGAACAATGGTTTATTATTTTCAGAATAGACATATATATACAAACATTCAGGTAGCTGCAGTTAAGTGCGACTTTTCTAAGACGGCTACAACTGCAAACATTTTGCCACCCAGTCGAGCAATGGAACCAAAACAAGCAGCTCATTGAGGTCACAGACGGAATTTCTTGGTGCAAAATTTAATTTTTGAACTCCTAGAATTCCAATCAATCTGGCTCAAACTGAGCTGTAATGAAGGCTCTTATCCTTGTTTTTTTTTGGTTGAAATTTGTTATTGAAGAGTAGAGGTCTTTGGTGTTATACTCTGTGAAGAAGCTTCATCACTTAATTGGTTCATGAGATTATATGTTCCAAGAACTCACATGCAGGAAGCTGATTGTTAAGTACTTCATGCATTAACTGTTGCTCCTAAATAAAGGACCCTCTTCAAGGCTTCTGGACATATATCTGTTTTCCGTGCTTGATGAATTGAAACATTTTGTCAGGAATAATCTGGGATCTTAGGCAAGAGTGAAGAGTATCCTGATGCAACAAGAAGACAAACAGGAGCTAAGAGGCCTGGAAAACCTTAGGATTTAAACATCCCATGACTAAAGTGAAACGCAATGGTCTCCTTGTCGAGATCAATCACCAACGGCAAATTAACCAGCAATGGAACAACATGCCAATGACGTACTTTTCAATGTATAGCGAATGGTAAAAGAAGTTTCAGGACCCAAGTGGGACAATTCATGTTACCTTCCTATAAGTCAAATTTAAGAAGATAAGTCTATAGTAGTTACAAGAAGTTACTGTGTTCAAAATGCCTAACAGAATTTGGATCCCTAGGGATGGACATTACAAAGGATCAGTCTTGAGCTCCTTTCCACTTCCAAAATAGACAAAACACTTCTTGTAAGCAAAGATAATTACATCTGAAAAATGAGTAAATAGCCTATCGCTAAAGAGTGCAAATCCATTAGCCTACCATCTGTAGTTAAAAGGCTTTTGAGTTAGTCATAAAGATTTTCTGTTACCAACTGGAAAAGTCTACTAGGAAAAACTGTGATGTTATGTACCAACTGCAGAAAGCAACTTGGTAAATATGAATTCGACAGGAATGCATGTTGCTTCTCGCAGTAGACTGCCTCCTTGCTTGCCTAGGCTTACTTTTTCAGAATTTTGACGAGTAATTTGGAGATTGTCCCCATTCTGCTCCGACAAGTTACTCCTTTTTGGTGGATACAAAAAGAACTCCTCTGCCTGGGGAAAATTGGTTGTCTTTGCTTCAAGACCTGAGTCACCAAAAGTTTTGCTGGCTTGTTCACCTTTCTCATCTCTAGCAGGAGGGTGGGGGGTGGTGATGTAGCACACAGGAGTTCTAAACCTCCAAACTAGTTGATGGGCACTACTATCAGCATTACCATCCATCTGACTGGAACTATTCTTCCTAACAAGAAAAATTGCAGGAATGTCCTCCAATACTTCTACTTCAATAGGGTACCCTATGATGGCCTTCTTGTTTGATTTGCTCATTAGAGAAACAAGAGGGACATGCTCTTTCCGGTAGCTAGCTTGAACAGTTATATTGACATCGATCAACATTGTTTCCATCATAGCATGGACTGGCCTAAAGCAGAGGCTATCAGAGTCTTCCAAGTACTTGCCTCCAGTAAGAGAACAAAAGAGAGTTTTGTCCTCCAAAGCCAAGTGTTCAGCAGATTTGCTGTCAACTCTGTAATTTCTTTCTTCCTTACATGGAGTATCCAGCAGCACTATATCCTGTATGTTGCGTGATCGTTTTCTGGACACTGCAAAACTTGTTCCATTAGTTACAGTGCTTGGAGTTCCACCTGAATTGTGCGTGCAAGGCTGTTCATTTGAGTTCAAGTTCTGAGAACCTGCACCACTGGCAATCTTGGCGTCAGGAGAAGATTCGGATGTGTAACTCAGATGCTCCTCCAGCAAATTAATGCTTCGCTTTTTGCTTCTATTCTGAAAGCTGCCTGAATTCCTCAGTAAAGATGTATCAATTTGATATATACAAGAGTTGTTATGTCTAAGATGTCTCAAAATATTCAACTACTTCTGGAACTAAATGAAACAAAAATACTTTGAACATCATCATTTTTTTCAGGTGCTTTGCTCGCTGTTATTGTAAGACAGTTTCTTTAAAAACCATTTGCTCTATTTGGATCCTTGAGTTTTTCAAAAATTAGTTTTTCAGATACTATAAAATTTTTTAAAAAGTACCCTAAAAGATACTCTAAAAAGTAGTTTAAATTTTTTTTAATGTATAAAAAATATCCCAAAATATATTCTAAAAACTCTACTACTCTTGAATATTCCAAAATATATTCTAAAAATATTCCAAAATATACTCTAAAATCCTGCTAGAGTAAAATTTTTCAAAAAATCTCCAAAAACAGCTAATCCAAAAGGAAAGCACCGCACAAGGATCTAGGGGAAGTAGAAAATGATTCGTGAATGCATTAGGTGATCTTGGTGAATTAAAACCACCATGTACATGTGTCACTGGCGCCCGTGCAAGCAATGGCATTTCTTACTATGTTAAAGTGCCTTTCTTTGTTCATAGTTATATCCTCATTTTGTACATAAAGTAACAAGAGCACATTAAAGGTATTTTGTCAACCTGTGATTTGTTTGACTCTGCGTCCATTATCCTTGAAACAGCTCTCAGAGAAACCAGATACCCGTGACTCAGCAGAATCTTTTTCCTCTGCTAAACTGGACACTTGGTAATGGTCTTCTGTTACACATGCAGAGGGAATAACCTTGGATGACTGACAATGAAGAACTGAGTTCTCAGAAGAAGCTTTTTCAACTGGCAAGTAAACACATTTGCTTCTCTTAGCCCGGCAAAGAGGTCCTTGCTTCACATTATCTGTTGCAAAAGCAAAAACGATGGTTTTGGTTTAAACCAAATAGACAATTTGTGGACTTCATTAATGCATTAGCATAATTAGAAGATTATCTGATGCAAACAAAGTCTAAAACGATTTTCTGCACGTCAGACTTAAATAAATTGGGCATCTATTACAGACTCTTGAAAGGTTGGAAGAGAATCCTGTTCTAAAAGAAGCTCTATGAGCCTTAGATTTGGTAAGACTGTCATTTGAGGCTGTGCACTAGGACATCACCTCTCTATGTTGCTTCCATTGATCTTTCTACTTGTCTGAAACATTATTATTCTTACATCCTTAATTTGTGAATACGTATTCCAAAAGTTCATGCATGCAACATTCCGAGTATAACTCATCAGCCACTTTGAAGAAAGCAATCGTTCATATCTGGCTCTGATATGAAGGATTTCATCAACTAAGCAGTTCAAGTACCTGGAGTTTTATGACTTTTTTCCTGCTCTTGTTTTTCAAGTTGAAGGGCATGAAGAACAGCATCTTCTCGATGAGCATATTTTCCATTCTTTATAGCAAGAGAAGACTGGACTGATTCAGCATCCTTGATAAAACCATCAAACTCAGCAGACCGGAATGCTTTTATGCGCTTGGATGTTTCCAAATTGTGCCACTCCCTATAAATTCATCATTACCAGAAATGAGTACAACCAAGCCCCGCCTAAATTGGAATTTGTTGGAATGATAATTGGATTATTAAATCTTATTAGGATTGGCACAAGACATATTCCCAACATAGATATTAACAATCTCATTAACAAGAAGGACTAAAAGGGATCCATAATTTCTGATGCGACATCAACAAAATGAGGCAGGGAACCAAATATATCGATCTCAAGGTGGTGAGGACCAGCTATCACAGCTTTGCCCTTCTATTCAATCGCTGAAAACACTTAATATTCAACAATTCCAAATAGTAATTAATCACAAGAAAGATTGTTCCTAGCGTAATTGAGCCATAAACACTTGCAACACTTCAAAATCAAAGGCAAAGCCATAGGTGGTCTGCCCTTGGGGAAAATGTCATCTTCACCTTGTGTTTAATTAGTGTCATATGCAACATCTTCATAAACTACTGGACAAAGACCGTACAGGTACATTCCTAATTCAAGTAACACAAGAATGAAAAATACAACACTACTGTCCAGAAGAGCTATCTATGTAGTTTGATCCAAGAAACAAAAGCAACTTGACACAAACTTCGCATTGTCAAGGATTTCATGATGTTATGGAAATTATCGCAAATAAATACCCAAACAATAAAGTAAAACAAAAGACTGCAAAATATCCAACAAAAAGTTTCATTCTACTAATTGTTATCTGGTCTTTCTTTTTGTTTTTTTTCTCTCTTTCTTCTTGTTTCTTGAATAAGCCTACTTTGATAAGAATTCAAACCCCCCAGGGCCCCCACCCCCCACCCCCAAAAAAAAATAATAATAATGGAACCACAGAAAACGGTTCACAAAATAAAAAGAAGGGGGGAAAGCCTGATCAAACGAAGAGGAAGAAATATATCGGGGAAATGCAAAACAGAGCTTACACAGAACCATTTTCTTTGCCGAGAAGTTTGATTGGTGTTTTAACAGCCGAAGGAGATAAATGCTTAAGAGGGCAAGCGGCTTCATCAAGCCCCACAACTTTTCCAGGCCACCATGACCCATTTTTCCTCTGCACCCAAACTAAGCTTCCCACAGCTAACCCCATGGTTTCTCTCCCTTTCTCTCGCTCTTTCTAGCTCAAGAAAACATGAAAAGGAAAAACAAGAGCATAATTGAGGTGGGTTTTTTTCTCATTCTTAAATGGGTTTTAGCTTTCTTGGGGTTTAAGATGAATTGGAAGGGGTCGTCTTTGCTCCCAACCGAACACCTGTAGCCTGTACTGAACTCTGAAGATGTTAGTGGTACAGAGTGTTGTACTGTGTCCAACGGCGGTTGGCTACCCGTAATTTGAATGTACGGACCGTTGTCTTTTTCTTTTTTATTTTAATATTTGAGAGTAAAAATACATTTGCTTTTCACTTTTCACCCCTAGGGATCCTGCCGGTTGATTTGATGGCATTTCCATTTTATCTTATTTTAACTTCCAGCACCTCATTTTGAATTTTTTTTTTGTTTTTGGAATTAAACGAATAGACTAAAAGGCCTTTCTAATTCTTTGGGTTTATAATGTTTAAAATTCAATTTCTGCACATGATTATTGTAAAATTCAATTTGTGGGGAAATAATTGGATTATTATGGGAGACTTGAATGATATTATCAAAAATGGAGAGGGAACAAAAGACTTGAAAGCAGTTTCAAAGATTTCAAAAATTTTTATAAATCAAAATAAGCTAATGGATTTAACCTAACAACGATAGTATGTTTGACAAGCATTTTGTAATACTCAGTTGTATTAGTAAAATTGAATTTTTGAAGAAAATATCATTTAAAATTCAATTTTTATATATATATTATAGATCTAACAGTAATAATATATTACATTGTTAATGTATATAAAATTTACTCATATTTTTATTTTATTTATCTA